ATATGTATATGTACATATATATATATTTATATATATATATATATATATATATATAAACCCGGAAAGTAAGCATAAGATGGGATGGGAAGGAAATCATTCAAACAAACGAATGATTCATGGCATCTTTTGAGAAGCTTTAACCTTATGCAGTGCAACATATGCTTTAACCTTATGCAGTGCAACATATCAAATCCAAATCCTGCAATTTATCATTTCATATTAAAGTTGAAATAATCCTTTTATTCTCTGTTATATTGAACAATCTGAGGATACAAACTTATATGCACAAGTAATAGTAAATAATCCATACATCAACTACTATCTAACTAGCTATAAAGAAAATAGGGTTTATAATTAGTTACAACTAACAACTAAAAAATTCTTGAATCTTCAACACATTTTTCATACAAATGTCACCGATTGTTGATGTTCTAACTCGAATAATCCATTACCATCCCAAGTTATTTTCTTTCCTTTTTGACACAGTTTCAGCACGACAAGTGCCCTGCAATTGATCTTCACTTGCACACCTAGTGACAGCCATATCAACAATCGAAGAAACTAGCTTCTTTCTTTTGGTTCTTCTATTTCATATAAAATATCAAATATTTGAACTTTTTTCCCTTCAGATTCATACATACATACATACATACATACATATCTTTTGGTCCATCTACTTCATATAAAACATCAAATATATGAACTTTTTTCCCTTCAGATTCATATATACATACATATCTTTTAGTCCATCTACTTCATATAAAACATCAAATATTTTAACTTTTTTCCCTTCAGATTCACTCATTCATACATACATACATACATACATACATACATACATACATATATACAACACATATATAGCTACTCCTTGCTTTTGGACTTCCCATAATTTACAATAAAAACAAATTCTATGTGTAAGATTTTGTGAACAGATAATGTGTGTGCGAATCTAATCAGTCTCTCCAGAGTATGGCTGGTCTATAGTTGCAAAACTCTTGTATTAGTACCTAAACTTTTTGACATTTTCCCTTAAAACCACAGTAACGCCAAAGGACTAAAAGGAAACCTTCTGTAAAATTTAAGACCAAGAGTGGCACTAAATTAATCCTTGTTTGGAATGACTCTTTTGGCTTTAAATAAATGATGAAACTTTTTAGCCGGTTCAGTTACAACTACTCTTGAATCTTGATTTTAAATTATAGAGATAGTTTAATGGCCAACTAAGGGTAAATGATTAATATTCAAATTCAGGAACCAAAACACATATACCGTACAAGCAAAGCAACAAACCCAGATTTCATTCTCCACACTTTTTTCTTTATATATCCAGAAATCTCTCGAACCTATTTTGTGAGCCCGAATTTCAAACCGGAGCCTTCCCACAAATCCTACCTTGAAACTATGACATTTGTTATTCCAATTCGAATTTGAACAACATTATTATTCCAATTCAGGAAGCAAAACAAGCCTATCATGAAACAAACCCAATTTTTTGTTTAAAAAAGAGAGAGAGAGAGAGATAGAGAGAGGAATGAAAAAAAGAATATATTAAATTTTACCTCAAATAGACTGAAGAAGCGGATTATAAGGCAGAAGTGAGTTTTTGTCACAAGAGCGAACAACCTCAAACTGTTGGGCAGAAAGCTCCTCACTCAAGAAGCCAACTTTAAACTCGATTTTGTTCTTCTCGGGATGCGCAATAATCCCAGAAATTGAAACCCAAAAGAATCCCTTCTTCGCCTGAATTCCAGAAACATCGGAGACCTTGCCGCGGCTGATTTTCCCCTTGACGGTCTTTTCGTAGTAAACGAGGCGGTCGAACTTAATGTAACAAGTGTCGTACAGTTCAATCTCGAACGCTCCGTCGTTTGAGAGAGTGTACGACTTGACGTTGTCGGGAAGGAGTCCTCGAGGGAGCCCGTACTTGGGGAGGAGATCGTGGACGTCTGTGTTCGGACTGTTCAATGGAATTGGACGGTTCAGATTCGATCTGGGGAAGCAGAAATTGGCCGTTGAGAGGAGGGTGAGAAGGATGAGGTAGAGAGAGATGGAGGGAGATGCCATTGTTGATTGAGAGAGAGAGAGAGAGAGAGAGTGGTTTACTAGTTCTGAGCTTGGAAGGAAAATTTCACTGGTTTATTTATATACCCAAGTCAAGTCACTAGTATAGATGCTTTTTTTTTTTTTTTTTAGGAAGGTGGAGAGGATTTTCTTTTATTTTCCTTTTTTTTATGTTGGAATGGGATGGGAGTTTTTTGTCAATGAATTTTTTTTTTCTTAATTGTGAGTAAAGATATTTTTGTAGGAAATGATACATCACCACGTGATAAAAAAAATTATTTTGGTAGTACTTTTTTTAAATCATTTCAATATCATGTTTTTTTTTCACTTTAAAAATATATACTTTTTATAATATTTTGCTTGATTGATTTAACTCAATTTATGAAACGTTTAGTTCATAGATTCAGAATTATTTTTATTTTATGTGTATTTTTTATGAGAAAAAATATCATAATAAATCACAAATTATAATTTAAATCATGACACGAATCATCCTTCCAAACATAAAGTTCTTCTCCTTTTAAATTGTAAGCAAAGCTATTTTTCATTAGAGAATGATATATTATTTGCATACAAAAAATTCATATGTTAAATGAGAGATCGAGAATAATGAAAGTGAGATAAACCATTAATGATTATCGGCGGTAGACCAGATAAAGACTGTACTAAAACTTTTTTTAGAAGTAATTAATTACAGAAAAAATAAAAATGATTAATTTCAAATTGACCCTGAAAATAACATTTGTCTCACTTTACTTCTTATAAATAATAAGTTACAAATTTAAAATTAATAATTGAAAGTACTGTCACTTTGTTCAAAATGATAGTAGTCTTACTTTGCTTCGTACTCCTTAAAAAGACACAAAATATTTCTTTAACGTAGGGGATATTTATTTTTTCTATTCGTTCTTAATTTTGAATCGTAATTTATAATATTTTTCTCTCATAAAAAATACGTGTAAAACAAAAATAGTTATGAATCATGATTCTAAATCTATAAACCAACACCCACTTATAAATTATAATTGTCAATTTGATACTGACATCATTAATTTTTTTACGGTTTTAATCATAAAGCTCACTTAAGTATCAATAAAAGTAAAATATAGTAAATTTAAATAAATAGACTTTAAAATTCCAAACAATTTTTTTTTTTTTTAAAAAGAAATTGTAAGTTCTTTCTCATTCTCTAATCAAGGTGTCATCTCCTCTTTTACTCACAATTCCCAAATTGTCATCACTCTCCTATATTATCTTGAATTAACTAGTCATTTGACCTGTATGGAGAGTGGGTGGTTTGTGTATTTTTGAGTTATAAATGAAAAAATGGGATAACTTCTATATATAGTGGTCAAATTTAGAATTAACCAACAAAAACTATTATTATGTATTTTTCAAAAACTATCCATTACTTATATCAAAACAAAATAAATACGTATTATAATAGATGGCAGTGAGTTTTATGTTTTGTAAGTGCTGCATAATATCTCTATTTTTATTGAAGGGGCTAATATGAGATAACATTTGTAAGTGAGGGCGAAATAGAAGAAATAAAAACAATAAAATAATAAATAATAAAAAAAGTGGTGGTGGCCGCCCCAACTCGGCACAACATGCCTTGACGCTGACGACTATATTAACTTTGGAAAGAATTATTTATTTTTTCTTTTTTTTTTTGTTGGATCAGTCTATTATAATCTGTACCTCTAGTTTACACTCTAAAAGGGATCCAATGGCTATTGAGGTTAAAAACTCGTTTAATTCGCTGATTTAAATTTTTAATTGGAGTTGAGATTTGATTTTATGTAATAGTTTTTTATTGTAGTAAAAAAATTAAATGTAATGCTTTTTTAGAACATTTTACTATAATAAAACTCAAATTCTAAATTTAAATTGATAAATTGAACAGAACCTGAAATAACAAAAATTAAAAAAAAAATAATAAATAAGTAAAAAATAAGGTACTAGCAAAGTCTTTTAGAATTGTTTGGTTGGGGGATTCGTACCCCGATTCGAATCATAGTTCATGGTTCGTTACAGTGTTTTCTCTCACAAAAAATACACGTAAATCGAAAATGATTCTAATCTTATGATTCTAATTTATGAACCAAACGTCTCCTAAACGCTTGGAAAGAGAATTCGTGCCATGATTCGAATCATTATTCGTGGCTCACTACAATATTTTTTCTCATAAAAAATATATGTAAAACAAGAATAATTTAAAATTATAATTCTAAATTTATGAACCAAACGTCATTTAACAATTCAACAAATAAAAGGAAAGAGAAGTAAGGCATTTACAACAACCCAATCAAAAGAAAAATCTGCAGCGGTATTATAAAAACCTTGTTTGCAAATTTTAAAACCGTCTTCTTTCTCTAATTGATTTTTCTGTACAAGTCTCCAATTGAGTGCAATAATACAATTACGACGGAATATAAATCTTTTTATGAATTTTTATCTTATAAATTTGAAATTAAACTCAAATTTTTTTAAGGAAAAAAAAACTATATAAGTGATGGTCATTGATAGAGATGTATATGTGCAAACAAACAAAAATACGGTCTAATTTTACAAAAACAACTCTTTTTATACAAGATGCAAAACGACCAGATCTTTTGTCTATTGCTTGGAAAACAATGTTCCTTTGTTCTGCAGTATTTAATTATTGCCTATCCTAACCTACCAAAGCCGTATTCTTGTGTCTAAAAGACCAAAAGAACCTTTTATAAACAATAAAAATACGAATTGAACCTAATGTTCTCTCTACCCACCACCTTGAAGCAAAATAGCAAATAATAAAAACGTGTACTACCGGGTGGAAATAATTCGGTGGGGGGTTCTCCACCGTAAGAATTATTAAGGTCTTATTTATTTTACTGATTTGAGTTTAAAATTTAAGTTTTATTATAATAAAAAATTTTTAAAAACAGTTATATTTAATTTTTTTATTACAGTAAAAAGTTCTCACATAAAATCACATCTCAACTCGAATTAAAAATTTAAATCAACGAACTAAAAATATCATAAACTTTTAACTTTTATTCAGATCGGATGGTGTTCATAAAGTGGATGTAACAATTGATCGTAGAAAATTCTCTCATGCGATTTTACCTCGTATCATCTTTAAAACGTAACATCTACTCCTTTTAAATAATAAAATATTACAAAAAAAACCTTCTCATTTAAATTTTTAACTAAAATTAACATCTAATTTACTATTTTAAGAGTATTTTGTTTAAAATTTAATTTGAATTTAAACTAATTTAAATATTTAAAAATACTTCATAAATTATTTTATTCTACCAAAGAAAGATTCATAAAATTTTTAACTTACATTCAACCAATAATGAATGTATCACAATTAAAAGCTCATATTCAAATTATTTTCAAATTCAAACTAAATTTTAAATTATAGAACTATTAAAATACCTCAAAATAATAAATTAAATGTCAATTTCAATTAAAAAGCATAATAGATGGAATTTTTTGTTAACATTTCATTACTCATAAGAAAATAATGTTACGTTTCAAAAATTAGGGAGTAAAGTGTTCCAAGAGGTATAGTTCAAGAAGAGTTCTTGTAATTAATCCACACAAAAAAAAAAGCTAAAGCAATAGAAATTAGGATCATCATTATCTTTTAAGTGTTTACTTAGACTATTAGATGGTGTAAAGAAAAACAATCTCATTCTATTTTTTATGTTTATTAAAATTAAAAATAATAGTGTTATGAATTTAATCACTAAAATATTTTTTTTACATAATTTGATAATAACTGATTATATAATAATTTATTATGAGTAGATAAATAAATTTAACATTCAGTCATTTTAATAAGAAATCAAGATTAAAAATGTATAAAGTTTGACATTCTCCTTTTTTATTCTATTTTAATTATTAATTTTATAAGTAAAAAAAGAATTTTTTTTTTTCACTCTGTCAATAATCATGGCCTTTGTACTCTGTTGACAGAGAAATGGCAATTGTCGGATTTTTTTTTTTTTTTTTTTTTGGGTATGGCCCAAAATAATTTTCTAAATTCTCATATTAACGTCAAACATTTTGTAAAAAATATGTTGTCTGCGGCTTATGATTTCAACTTACTCGTATTGAACTGAATAACTCTTTATTGTTGTTGGCCTTATAAGCTTTAAGATTGTTTTTTAAGAAAGGAAGACAAATATCTTAAAATGTATAAATTTTAGATTTTCAATTATTATTATTAATTAATCTTTTTAATCAAAAAATTATATTAGTTAAAAAATGATACAAATCTTAGAATAATACATTTAAAAATTGAATTCACTAATTTTCTTTTTTTTTCTATTTAATGTTAGGCCAATAAGCTTCAAACATATTTTTAAGAGCATTTTTATTTATTTTGATAGAGTTAAAACTTCATTATTTACGTAAAGTGAATCTCATTAAATGAATAGATGAGACCTAACTCAATCTAATAAGACACGTTATTTATAAGTGATGGAGTGTAATCTTAATGAAGATAATTATCATTTTTTATTTTTAATTTCTTATAAATACATCATTTTCTGACAAATCATGATATTTTATACCCGTGTTCTGACATGTTATTCATGAGTTTAGATCTGCTGTCTCAAATAATTGTCCCATTAACTGTCTCTCTGCCAAGGGTTTGACACCTCAGTTGCAAATTTACACGTCACTTCTTCTTAAAACCTTCATAAACGGTGTTAACACTTAACCAGCAAAACAAAAATGGGTGCTTCTGTTCATTTTTCTGACAGATTGATTTTACCAGCTTTTAAATCGATTCTTCTTCTTTCTTTCTCACCTTTCTTAGATTGAAAAATAAAGTTTTTAATGTAAAATTGAGATATAATTTTATATAAATTTTTTTTATTATAATAAAAATATTAAATACAATTATTTTTAATAATTTTTTATTATAATAAAATTTAAATTTTAAATTTAAATCGATAAAATGAATAAATTTAAAACTTCACCGACTCTTCCACTTCATCCAGAAATTGGATTTCTCTGGTTGACAAAAATAATCAAAAAGAGGCCCATCAACATCTGACTCTAAAACTTTGTTCGTCAAACAGATTTTCACTCGTTTATTGAGGATTTTCCATTGAACTCTGTTTCTATTGAACATTCACGAACCTATTTTCAGGAAAAAAAAAAAAAAGAAAAAAGTTAATGGGTTAACCCTGTTTCTATTAAAGCAAGTGCTTTTCCTAGAGAAAATCTGAGGACGAATCCATGTGGCACGACTTGGAAGAGTTTATGATATGTAAATCTTCTTTATTGTTTTTGTTTTTGTTTGTCTATTATTATTATTATTATTATTATTATTATTATTATTTTGTTTTAATGGTGAATGAAGAGCTTCTGCAAATATTATGCTAGAGAAGAAGATGAAAAGTCAAGAATTAAAAAGTAAAAGAGTTTTTGATAAGCCATCAGTACCAGCGACTAGTCTGTTTATTTTATCAATTTAAATTTTATTATAATAAAAAAAATTTAAATACAGTTATATTTAATTTTTTATTACAATAAAAAAATTTTAGATAAAATTACATTTTAATTTTTTATTACAATAAAAAAATTTTAGATAAAATTACATTTCAATTCAAATCAGTAAATTAAATGACCTAGACAACCTAGTAGATTTATAGTCCGTTTAGTTCGCTGATTCGAATTTTTAATTCGAATTGAGATGTGATTTTATGTGAGAACTTTTTACTGTAATAACAAAATTAAATGTGACTGTTTCTGAGAACTTTTTACTATAACAAAACACGAATTCTAAACTCAAATCGGTGAAATAAAAGAGCACTAAACTCATTATTCACCTTATCACAACAATAAATGGATATAGGAATGATTTTCGTATTATTTTATAGATAGATGATCTTGGGCAATTTTCATTTTATTGCTATAGATCATCTGCCACGAAGAAATGAGATGATAAAAAGACAATTTATTTTTATCATCTCATTTCTTCATTTGCACATTCAAGTCCAACAAAAATGTTTCACCCAAATTGGAGTAGCAACTTATGGCAAGATTATATTTTTATCAGAAATACAAAAACAGTTGCTCCACCAATATAATACTTTTTACAGTTGGAAGTTCCGATAGAAGTAACAGCTTCTAAAAATACAGCTTTTTGCAACATTGTTATAATGTTCTAGAAAAATATTAAAACATGTTACACTTGATTCACATAGATCTCCATTGAAAACCACTTGATATGGTCATTGATGGGCCCTACTCTGTAATTAGCATCTCAAGCTCTTCGGTTGGATTTGGGAGCTGCAAGAGCAAAACACCAGAAACATATATATATATATATATATATATATATATATTATACAATCGAGATAACAATCAGCTATAACATGTTTAAGGTCATATTTCGGAAATTTCTGAGTCATACTCTGGATCTTAGAAGATAGGTAGTCCAATAAGATTAAATGCTCAATGTATAAAATTTTCAGTCCTCGTTACAACTAAAACAAGTACTCCCATTAAAAAATCATGCACAAGCTGACAAGCTTCAAATCTGACATGTTTAATTTTGAAATTGTCTCATGCCACTCAAATTAAGGTACGAAAAGAAAAGAGAATGAATACTAAAATTACTTATAAATCCTTAATAAATATTATATTTCACCAATTATTTAACTGATTGACTAAATAGTGATTACATATATAAGATCCGTACTCTTAACTTCAATAAACATTAGAAAGACAATTGGAGATTTTCTTAACCCACCATTAAATAGATATGAAAACACTAAAATGAAATCAACAATCCTCATTTTTATTACTTTTTACTTTTTTTTCCAATCTCATTACCCTCCATTGTCTCATTTCTCTGTGGTTTAACTAAGGACTCCCTAAATTTGTTACCCTTTTCTTGAATTCTAGACAAACAGAGCAATTCCATGTCCAAACATAGGCAACAAAACCCAGGTAAAGCAAATTTAGTCTAAAAATAATATAATAATAATAATCCCCTTTTGCAAAAGGGGTTTGGCAAAAATTTGGTGATGCAACTCCCAAGTACTTAAGGATGCAAATAAGATTTCAGCTTGAGAAAACATCTCATCTCACAACAAGATCACCAACTCAAAATTTTAATTTATAAATTCAAAATTATTTTTAATTTATGTATATTTTATTAGAAAAAATATTATAAAAAATTACAAAATATAATTAAAATTATATAAATTCACCAACTAAGCACATTAAATCTAGCTTTGCTCACCAGTATTAGTCAACCAAGTACTAGACAAACTATAAATCTTTTTTTTTTTTTTTTGTCTATTGCGCTAAAAATTTGCCCAGTTCTTTCTTTACCATATATAGTTTCAAAAAAAAAAAAAGAAAGAAAAGCAGTAATTAGGAATAGTTCCAACAATATATGTGGAAAACATTAAATTTGTTTACCTGGAGAAATTGTTTCCGTAGGGCACAAGGAGAGAATGGGCTTCCATAATAGCAGGCACGAACAACCTTAAACTGATCCAAATCAAGCTTTTTGTTGATAAATCCAACCTGAAAGTAAATACTGTTCGAAGGAGGCAAATCCACTTTGATCTCGTCAACGTCGAACCAAATTAAGAATCTCCGAACCTCAATTCCTTTCAATTCCGTGATCGAACCATAACCCAGCTTCCCAGTTATGGTCTTGTCGTAGTAAACCAAGTACTCGAAGTTAATGTAGCAAGGGTTCTCCAAAACGACAACGAATCGGCCGTCGTTGGGGGAGAGAGTATAGTTTACGACGGAGTCGGGAAGGAGACCGCTTGGGAGGCCGAATTTGGGGAGGATGTCGTATACTGTTGTTGAGTTGTCGTCTGAGCAACTCACTCTTTTCACTGCAACTGTGGAAATTGTTAAGAAGACGAAGAGGGAAAGAAGACCCAGATGGGATTTCGCCATGAGAGAGAGAGAGAGAGTTTTAAGGTCTTCTTGGGTTGCGGAAGAAGAAAACAGACGAGAAAAGTTGGGAAGCAAGGAGGGAGGTTTTTGTAAAAATATTTGGGGAAGCTCTAATTATATGTGGTGATTGATACGGAAGTCTTTGGAAGGATCGTTGACCAAATGTGATAAGATCAACGGTTGGATTTTATTTCAAGGTGCGAATTTTATTTTGGATTAGGTAAGCGAATGTTACTTATCAATTTGGTGTTCCAAAAAAAAAAAAAAAGAATGTCGCTATTTTATGTTTATTTTTAATTTTTCTGCGTAGCTTATTAATGTCTTTACTAACTCAACACCCACGTGCGGTTGCGCACGGTCGTTGGACTATCCTATCTAATCCGGTTTCGTTTAGTCGGGTCTTCTGAATGGTTGTTCCGCTTCTCAAGATGCCAACTTGACTATCTTGCACAAGGGACAAGTAAGGCTCGGGATCAATTGGGGGCACCGGTGTGTTGCCGACCAAAGACTCTCCAACGCTCAAGTCAGTGCCTTGCTTGAGAGTAATAAATGAGAAGGCAATGGGTAGGTGAGGAGAAGTGTTCGTACCTCATGGTTTCT